TGTGTGTGTGTGTGTGTGTGTGTGTGTGTGTGTTATGGAGCTGTCTGATAATAGAAGCCTTTAGCCTACATGTTGTTTCTTTTATTGTTCCTGGATCTTAGCATCTATCTAGTAAAGGAATTGCTTTACGAATTGACTCTGGCATGGAGAAATGAGGTGATCCAACAGGACTGCATGTTGTTGTATATCTATAAAGGAAGCAAGATTGAGACATTGTACTGATTTAAAATGACTCCATTTTTGAAGTGTACAGTATTTGAAACATAATATGTTGGCTGTATTATTGAATTTCAAGGAAATGATTTTCTCTCTTTGAGAGTGCTGTAATCTAAACACCGAATAGAACAGATAATTTACTCAGCCACACATACATGGGTCACTGGTGAACTACGAAAAAGAAATGACTCTTTCATTTCCTTGTGGTTTCTTTTGTGTTGCTGTTGAAGTGCATTAAGTTATACATCTTTCCTTTCCTGCATATTAAACCCAGACAAGTCTGAGTGAAATGCACTTTTCCATTTGAACATGGTTCATGATCTCATATGTAAGGTAATGAAGTGTACTTAAAAGATCATCCTCCCAGCTCCAGCTCTCGTGAATATGTGTGTGTGTGTGTGTGTGTGTGTGTGTGTGTCCCTTGAAATGTTAGATTAAAGCTAATTGTGAACTGTCGAATATATTCTGTTTACTAGCGCTAGGAAAGGCTTTGGCATGGCTTCTGTAGACTGCTTGGATGAAAGTTGAGCAATTATCGTAAGAAATTTTCAGTCCGTGAAATGGCACTAAAGAAGTACATTTAGTCTTGTGACTTGTTTTAAGGCATCTAGAGAGGAGACAATTAATCTTAGGATGGATAAAAGTTCTGTGCAACTCTGATATGAATGTTGCCTAATGTGATGTGAGTCATCTAAGTAATGTAATGTTCTCAACTGAAGCTGTCCCTCAGAATTGGTAGTGGGATCTTTTTAAAAAATACGTGTTCCTGACTCTTATTCCCACAGGTTGTTTGTGTAATGTTGACTATTTGGAGCTTTACAAACATCACAGATGATTATTTTGTGCTCAGGCTGGACTATTGCCATCTGGGAAGAAGGGTCAGGCTCCTGGCTGGCTTGGCTTCAGATTTGGGGTACAGAATGATCCAGGGATTATGCACATTAAACCGAAGTCGCTTAGAGAACCTGGCCTGGCATCACCCTGAGAAAAGAGTAATCTCAGAATTTGTCCTTTCAGTTTATCCAAAACCAAAATGCCCACCACAGGAAAGAAAGTGACTTACAAATTGTTTAAAATGTGAACATGTGTTTTGTTTGTTTGTTTTTGTATGAGAATTTTTCTAATTAACTTTTAGGGCCATAGGGAGGAAGTCATACCTTTCAGCAGCACAAATTCTTATAATCTTAGATATTAGGGATATTGTAGTAGTGTTTTGCCAGTTACATTGGGTTAGAGCAGGTGGGAAAGATACCTATTGTTTTTGAATCTGATTTTGAGTGTTTATATTGAATTCTGTTTGGAGGTTCAAGTAAATAATCAATGGCACTCTATTTTATGAGCTTATTAAGAAAGTGCTAAGGAGCTGTGACTTTGATGACTTGCACCTGGCAAGTAGTAAAAGCTATTCTTAACTTTTTCATTCAGTTAGATTTGTTCCAAGTATTTTATTAGGCATTTTTTTGAAGGTTATGGAAGGAGGAGTAAACCATCTGCATACTACTACAGCAAACCTTGGGGCTATTCTTTTTTTTAAAAAAAATATTTATTATTTTTATTTTATGTGTATGAGTGTATTGCCTGCATGTATGTAAGTGCACCCATGTGGTGCAGTGCTGCAGAGGCCAGAAGACACTGTCGGGTCCCCTGGACCTAGAGTTGAGGACGGTTCATAGCCACCATGTGTATACTGGGAATTGAACCCGGGTCCTCTGCAAGAGCAGTCAGTGCTCTTAACCACTGAACCATCTCTCCAACCCCTGGGGCTATTCTTTATTTTAGTGATTACATAATAACAAAGAAGTAGAACTTATGTTTTCAGAGTGGTCACTAAACATTAACTTTAAATGAAACAAACCTTTCAATTAAACTTGCCAGAAGAACTTTTATGTTCCTCTTTTCTTCAATCTGTTGGCTTAGCAAACAAAAGCATATTGTGTTTGAGCACTCGCATTCTTATTTTATAATATTCTTACTTTTAAAGACCATTAAATTTTCTGTGCTCTTGCCAGATAAAACCCAGGATGCTCAGTTAAATTTGAATTCAAGTAAACAATGAATAGTTTTTTTCATATAAGTGTAACTTAGCTATTACATATAATTTCTGAATACAAATTTAATTGTGCATCCTGTATTTTTATTTGCCAAATATTCAACCCCAATTTTCCTTCCTCAAATGCTGCAGCAAACAATCTATGCAAATAATCTTTCTGGAAAAAGAACTATGTATTTACATTTTTGAAATTACATCCAATTCAGTGTTCCTAGGATTTGATTGTAATTAAATAATTTTGAGTTTTGAGTTAGGAGAGTTTGCTTTAATTGTTTTTGGAATGAGTATTTTTTAATGTATATTTTATTGAGATTTTGTGCATTTTATATAATAGATCTTAATCAAATTTAGACCCTTCTCCCCCACTTGCACTCTCCCATAGTCCCCCCATTGGATTTCATGCATTCTTTCATATATGTTAAGGCCTATCCAGTCAAGCATTTGTACCCAGATGTCCCAGCCTATCTAGAGTCACTCCCTTAAAGAGTATCAACTTTTCCTCATCCAGCATTAATCCATTGCTAATGGTTTCTTGGCTAAGGTTGGAGCCTGCTGCCCATTTCCCCATTTCTATGATGTGTTTTTGTCTGATTGAGTCAACATGAGTTTGTGCATGCTGTCACCATTTTTGCAAGTTTATATGAGCAAGTTCCCAGAGGCATGAAAGCCTGTTCCCTTATGTTCATACACCAACCCTGGCTTCTATCATCTTTCCACCTCCTCTTCTGAAATGGTCCCTGAGCCATACATAGGTGGGTGAGGTTTAATATAGGAATCCTATCCAGGACACACACTGCAATCTCTCATTCTCTGCATGTTCTTCAGTTCTCACCAGCAAAGCTTTCCCATACAAGACTACATTTTTTTAAAGAAGGGTCTTGCTGTGTGTCCCAGGCTAGCCTTGAACTTTTTAGGGATGCCAGACTGTCTTTGAATTCTGTGACCCACCTGCCTCAGGCTCCTGAGTGCTGTTATCACACGTATGTACCACCATACCCAGCAAAGGGCATATTGCATATGGTAACCTTAGTAGATTACTTTATAGCTGTATCATCATGAAAGCATCTCCCTCTTCAGGAAGAACATTTTATTTATTTGTTATTTATTTATTCATTTTGAGACTGGATCTTGCTGTGTAGCATGGGCTGGCTTCAAATTCCTGAGTTCAAATGATACTCCTGCCTTAGTCTTCTAAGAAGCTGGCCCACAGGCATGTGTCACCGTACCTCGCATCCTGATTTTTTTTTTTTTTTTGAGATAGGATTCCCATATGTAGTGCAGGCTCACCTCCAATTCACTATGTAGCCCAAGCTGTACTCAAACTTTTGATCCTCCTGAGTCATTCTTCTGAGTGTTAGGATTCTAAAAATGTGTCACCACATCAGACTCTTTGGAAAATTTAAAGCACTCTCTAGACAGCTTTACTTAAATAGGGAAGATTCAGGTTTACACACACCCCATATTAAAATGAGGATTTGGTTTCTGGTATGAATTTTGTTTCCTTGTGAAAATCACATTTTTAAATGAGTGCCTTTGGTTTTCACCTTGTTGCTACAGGTATGTGACCTATCAGTTTGAGAGGAGGATGCCTAGAAACACGTATTCTGGCATTTAGTTATGTCTTCATTGTTAGAAGTTTGTATAATTTTTAAAAATCTCAGGTTAACATTAGAGTTCCATGCTTTGGATTCTGAATGAGTGGATATTCCTGTTTATTTAAATATGATATATGGATACTTAAATATTTTTTAGAATAGTCTAGAGATGCATGTTCATATGAGTTTTTTTGTGGTAGTTTTACTATGAAAGAAAGATCATTGATGTGTATGCATCAATTATTTAGCTAACTCTGCGGGACAAGTTTTTAAAATGGTTTTGAGACAAATTTAATAGAGTTATGATTTAAACAAAAATGTATAGAATGAATAATATCTGGAATCTAGTTTCCATTAAAACACATTTTAAATTAATAATTTAATCCAGTATTGGGCCTAAAGGAGAGACTGAGAGAATACATGAAGCTTGATTGATCTGATAAGTACAATCTGCTTTTATGGAATTCTAGTTTCAAAAATAATTAAGAATTTAAACATGATGTTGAAGGCCATTGTGGGTTTTAAAAAATGTAATCACCTTACTGTATTCTAGCTTTAATTTCTAAATTGATTTAAAGTAAATAGTATGGATGTGAAGTTTGTCTGAAACAACAGAAAGTCAGATAGTAATTACTGTTTATAGTGGGATAAGTTGGAACAGTGAATGCTTTAATTTGTAGGTCAAATAACTGTCAAGAGCTGACAGTTCTAATAGGTTCGTTGGAATGTAGAAAAGGTGCTCATTATGCAGAAGTTATCAACTGAGGCTGAGTTTTGGGGGATGGAGGGTATGATAGATGTTTAAATGTCTGATTCCAAAGTAAAATAACAGATGGTGACAGCTCTGATCACTTTATCTAATATAACTTCTCTGTTGTATAACTTCATGCACAACTGTTCAGAAATGTAAAAAAAATCAGACATGTTGCCAAACTATATTGTAGGATAATCCTTTAGGAAAACTTCAGATTTTTCTTCCTCCTTTTAAAACTGTTTTGGGCTGCCTAAATAAGTTTGCATAGGTCTAGCAGACAGATCAGTAGGCTTCAATATTTTTTATACTTCTCTGCTTTTTATTTCCTCAACAGGCATGTTTTGATCAGTTATAGAAATGAAAGGTGTTGGTCTCCCTTGAAAACAGCAATGTATGTAATAGAGCTTCTTTTAAATGGCTTCTCTATGTATTTAGGGAATATTTGTACATACACTATAAACCTGTGTTCTTGCTATTGCTTAATTATGCAATGTTTTAGGGAGTTAATATCTGTATTGTGATAGAGCTGTGGTTACTGTAAGAGACACAAATAACAACACAATGTTATTTGTGTCTGGAATATTTCATTGCTTTCCTGTGTCAGAGAAAGTGAATGCAACCTGCAAAAAAAGTAGATTAATGATCTACTGAGATAATAGGTACTTGCATTTGTCCTTTTGATGCTGAGGGATATTTTAGCATGCTTTGGATAGGCAGGTAGAGATTTTTATGTGCATAAGCTGTAAACTCGTTCATTCAGTCGGGCTTTTTAATTTACATAGAGGAAGGAAGAGGAACAATATTAGAGTTTTACATACAGAAAAAGCATCAGTCCTTTAACATTCTTTTTTTGGCTTGTTAACAGCTTGTGGGTAGGTGCAAGATTGAATTATTATTGCTTGAGTACCTCAGGATATGACGGTATTGACCAGAAGGAAATGGATAAGAAAATGGTGGAAGAACTGAGGAAACGAAGGACTTCTTGGAAAGCTAGGACAAAAGGAACAAATTATAAATGATTTGAGAAAGAGGCCTTAGAAACTGTTGTGCATTCTTGAAAGCAGTGACAAAAGTAGAGGATCACTATTATGATTCCAGAAAGGATTAGAGACAAAGTAGATGTGTTACTTATCTCTGTTATATGGGTATAAATCAAGGTGAACTGAGGGAGAAGGTAGGGAAAACCTGGTTTTCTTGCTGTTAAGTTTCCTATCAATTTGAGCCTTTTTGCTGTCTTCCAGGGAATCTTTGTTCTCTGACTCCTCTGTGGGAGACTGCATGATGTTTTCAATTCCTATCTCTGATGATGATACCAAGTAATCAAATAAGCATTTCCAATGACATTTCTGAAGTCATCTCATTTTGGCATCTGTATCCTAGGAAAAATATATTGCCTCAATAATAGTCTGTACACATAAGCATTTAACCCATTAGTATGTAATAGGTCTTAATATCAGTGTTACTATATGTATTAAGTTGTCTTTTGTCTTGAAGCTCTAATTTAGACTAAAACTTGTACTGTACTGTTTTTTTTAGGACAGCCAGTAGAGGGGACTTCATGTTTTCTGCGGATCGTTTGGTAGGTGGAGGCTTTCCATTTTCATTTCATTGCTATACTTAGTGATATAGTCATGGTAAATCAAGGGGCTTTTTTGTTATAGACCATTCTGGGGGTGAGAGCAATTACACCATGTATCCGTCGTCTTGCCAGGCTTTTGATGCATTCTTTCTACTGTTACATTAAAGTGTTTTAAGCCTCAATTCTTTTTACTCCAAAGCATTGCCTATGAACTCATTCCCAGTTGTTCTTAGGTACTGCTATCCCTCAGATGGATCTTGGCAGTGTGGTTCTCAGCAACTCATAAATGCCTCAACTTAGGGTAATGAAGGGAAGCATATTAGAAGAAAATCAAATGTGTACTGAGACCTAATGGTTACCCTTGTGGGATCAGCTAATGTGTAGATACTAGTGCATTTTTTTGTAGTTTATGTGTAGATGGTATTTGTTTTGCCTCTGTTCTGTAATGTACTTGCATGTGAAGTACTAAGTTGTATTGTCTGTACTTTCTTCAGGGACTTCCTATAAGGCCTGACCAAACCCAGTTCTATATAGTGTCATCTCAGACGATCTCAGACCAAATTGCTTTGCCATTGCTTTTCTTTTTTGTGTTGATATCTCAGTGTGCTCAGTTCTTGGAATGAAAGTGAGAATTTGTTGCTACGATTATTATTTTTCACCTATTCCTGAAAATAAACACTGAATTCTTGTCAGTCAGGCACTGTGCTAGCATGTTTTGGGAGGAAGGAGATAAAACAGGAGTATAGACATGGTCCCTTGTCTGGTGGAATTTACAATCTAAACACTGTTGCCAGTATTTAATTTGGGAAGGAAATAAAGAAATGTGGCTTATTAACCTCAAAGTTATAATCAGATCATAAAAAATATAAAATGAAATGGGAAAAAAAGGCATTCAACTTTTCATTTAGATTTTCCCTGGAGATGTATTTCAAAATAGTGTAGACAACTCCTGTTACGCACTTGGCTTTAAATATTCTTAGTTGAGAGACCCAATTCTGTTTAAATCTATTTTAATTTTTATGGACAGTAATAACTGTTGGATATCACTAAAAGAAATGTGTTTGACATTCCTGGGACAATAGACATTCTTTTTTTTGTGTGTGTGTATGTTTATGCTTGTTGGGGGGGGCGGGTGTGTTGCATGTGTCTGAACTTGCATGTAGAAGGCAGAGCTCAACCTTAGGTATGAAGGCCAGAGAGCAACCTTGGGTGGTTCTCAGGAGTCATCCACTTTTGTTTTTTTTGTTTTTTTGTTTTTTGTTCAGACAGGGTTTCTCTCTGGGACATGGGGCTCGCCAATTAGACTCTGCTCTGTGGTCAACAAGACTCAGAGATCCTGCAGTCTTTGCCTCCCCAGGACTAGGACTATGAGTACATGCCAATGTGGTACACTTGGCTTTTTTATTGTGGGTTCTGAGGGTTGAACTTAGGTCTTCATCTTTATAAGGCAACTGTCACTAACTGAGCTATCTCCTCAGCCCTCTTTTTATGTTTTCATCAAACAAAAGACAATTTTGAAGAGGAAGGAATTTCTTTCATCCTCGAAGACTAGTGGCTGCTGGGCAGAGAACAGGAGTCTCTGTTCTCTGGTATGAAATCATTTCTCTTTCTTTTGTTTTCCTTGTGTTCTTTTTATTTTCCCTTCCTCTTCTTTCTTTTTCCTTTTGAGATTCAGTATCTATTTTACCTAGACTGATCTCAAAATCCTTGGCTCAAGCGTTCCTTTTTCCTCAGCTTCCCAAGTGGCTGGACTACATGTGTAGTGCCAGATGCATGTGTTCTTTTTCTACAGAAAGTAGGAGTCAAGGTCATGTACGTTCTAAAATGCTTCTCTGAAATGGCAGGCATTATATTCTAGCCTGATGAGATAACATGGACTTGTGGCATAGTTCACCTGTGGGGATAATAATTTGGCTCTCTCTACTCTCTGCAGATGGTTTTGGAAGACCTATAGTGGGCTGTATCTGTTGTGATTGTAGTTGTGGTAGGGATTCCATCTGTTATATTTCTATTGTTGAGGATTTCTAGTATACCATCTCCTTAACACAATGGTCCCTTGATAGCGGACATTAATTCTATCCTGAATTTTTCAGTAGTAGGTTCCTTGGCCTTCTGATCCTTGAGTTCTTTATATTTTCTTTATTTATTTGGGGATTCTGAGTTCTCTATATTTTCTTTATTTATTTTGGGGTGCTGAGGATTTAACCCAAAACCTTGAGCATGCTAAACAGTTGCTGTACCACTGAACTATACCCCCAGCCTTTTAAACCCTCTAAAGGTATTTATATTTTACTCATCCTTCCTCTGGTTTTATACTCTCTTGTAAGACTTAGACATACTAATCCCCCCCCCATTTTTTTGTTGTTTTATTTTGTTTTTTGTTGTGACAAGAGTAGGATTTATTTTAGGGCGGCAACATTGTTTCAACATTTAAAAATCATTATATGCAATCCACCATATTCACAGACTAAAGAAGAAAAGCTGTGTGTTCAAATCCATTTATAAAAGAAAAAGCAAAGTCCTCACAGCACACTTCTCCATGCAGGGGTGTTGTGTCTCTGGCACTTGAAAAGAGTTGGTTCAGCTTTCAAAGAAGAATAGACATATATAGTCATATACAGAATGAAGGCTTGGGGTTTCCTTGTCCTTTTGATGATGGGAGCATGGGTGATTTCTGAGGTAGATACAACTGTATACAAAAGAACATGTGTGAGAATTTTGTGCTTATGTTTTGTGGCTGAGTTTCTCCTTGGAGAAATTCTGTAGAATTCAGTTCCATCACTTATAAAATGCAGTTCTAATATTTAAAGTTATTTTAAAAAAATTTTTAGAAGCATTTCATTACAGCTTTAACATACTCATTAACAGTTTCCAGAGCAAAAGTGGCTATAAAATTTTTAGGTTCGCTGTTGAATAAATACAGTTATACAATATTGAACTCAGTATAAGCCCTGTAAGACATAAAATTGAAAGAGTTTTTAACCTTTAAACATGATCTCCATTTCATTTTAAAATATACTATTTCTTACAGAAAGATTCATTGTTTTTGCTAATAACACTGAGATTCTGGTGTATGCATCTCTAATCTGTATGTATCTGATTATTACTAGTCATAATCGGTTGCTCTCGGATCCTTGGCACCTGTGCATGTCCATCAAGTCATCGGGTAGATTTCAATGGTAATGTTTATCACCTCTACTAATTAACATGATTTAACATTTTATGCTTCCTCCTCAAATATAATTCATTTTTTAAAATTTGATTTCTTTGTGTATGTGTATATCATATAGAAAAGTTATTTTTAAAAAATGTTTTAATAGCCACATAATTAGTAGAAGCATTTTGGTACAACAGCATTGACATAGTCAATAACAGTTTCCAGAGTAAAGATGTATCTCTTTTAATACTGGTTGTAATTTTTAGGTTCACAGTGTTGGATTAATACAGTTATACATTATTGTACTCAGTATAAACACTATAAGACATAAAATTGAATGAAGTTTTAACCTTTAAAAAAGATCCCCATTTCATTTGAAAATATACTGTTTCATACAGAAAACCGCATTTTTTACAAAAATATTTTATTTATTATTTTTATTTTATGTGTACAAGTGTATTGCCTGCATGTAAGGGAGTGCACTTGTGTCATGCAATGCTGCAGAGGTCAGAAGAGGGCTTCAGATTCCCCTGGGACTGCAGTTAAGGACGGTTTGTAGCCGCCATGTGGGTGCTGAGAATCAAACCAGGGTCCTCTGAAAGAGCAGTCAGTGCTCTTAACTGCTCAGCTGTCTCTCCAGCCCCAGAAAAACTCATTTTTAATGCAATTAACACTTAGATGTTTACACGTGTCTCTAATTTCTATGTATCTGATTATTACTAATCATAGTCGGTTACTTTCTGAGATCCTTGGCAACTGAGCATGGATATAAAGTCATCAGGTACATTGCAGTGGTAATGTTTCTCATATCTACTAATTAACATGAAGCAAATTTTTATGCTTTTTCCTCAAATATAACTCATCTTTAAAAATTTTAAATGTTTTCTTTGTGTATTTCATACAGAACATCCCGAACAATCTTTTTCCTCTTTATACCTGCATCCCCAAATAGCACCCTCCCATAGCCTCCCCCCACCCAATGAAGCCTATATACTGTCATCCCTGTTATTGTCCACTGTGTTGTCAGTGCCCCCAGCTGTGCAAGTCCATTCACTGAGTCTAGTCAGCCTATCTAGAGTCCTTTGTTTAAGGAAGATCAGTTGTTCTTCATCTAGTAGCAATCAGTTGCTAACATTCTTTTAGATAAGATTGGGGTCTGCTGTTCATTTTCCCAGTTCTATGCTGGGTTACTCCCTGGGAGTCTCTTGGGACACCCTGGCCAACAACTCAAAGGAAGGTATCTCCTGTCTGGTATTGTTTCTTGTTATGGACCCTTTAACTGTACACATGGACTCTTAAAGAATTATAGTGATCACTTTAGTCTTTGGTTATACTTTACTTTTGGGTGTTTAAGACCATACAGTTGGCCCAAATAAACCAATTTATTTTTACTCTTAAGGTCGTTTGAGGATCTGTTCCTCAGGGGTCACATGGGTTTGGGATGAGCTGCTGGCTCCTTTCTTTTACCAGTTCCATCTATGTGAAGATAAGTCAAAGGTCCTACTCGACCATGGCTGGCTTCACTTGGAAGCATGGAGTAAATGATTCCTCTGTGTTGACCCTCCTCTTTGTAGGCTGGACACTGGTTCAAGTCTATCTGGTAGGGTCTCCTCACCCTCCTTGATCAAGAGGACAGGTGACGCACCACAGTTACAGGATGTTTTAAGAGATGCTTCATAGTCCCCTGGAACTTAGTTGACCTTGGAGGGTGAGGAGCAAAAACTGTCCTTTAAGTCCCTCTGACCAAATTGGTATAGGCCTCAAAGTATGGCTGTTAAACATCCAAGAAGGTTAGTTCCACCAGTCTGGTACTTTTAATTACCATGTGCTATGTAAATAAAGC